CTGTGAATTCTAGTCCCGCCTTAGGCATGAAAGCCAGCTGGGTGATATTGGGTCTTTGACTAGGAGGCTGTGAATTCTAGTCCCGCCTTAGGCATGAAAGCCAGCTGGGTGATATTGGGTCGTTGACTAGGAGACTGTGAATTCTAGTCCCGCCTTAGGCATGAAAGCCAGCTGGGTGATTGTAGGCCAATCACTCTCTCTCAGCTCTAGGAAACAAGAAGGTCAGGGCAAACCACTTCCAAAAATGCAGTCAAGAAAACTGCAGGGATTTCTCCAGGAGTCAACATTGACTCAAACTCATCAAAACAAGCATCTTCTTATACATGGAATAATTGGAGGCATAACGATGTAGAAATGTGGGGTTTTTCCCCCCATTTTATTTTGCAGTTATAGTCATCTTGCAGCCTTGCTTGCAAGCCCTTTTTGGTAGTAGATGGGAGGGAGTGTGATTGTTCGTATTGTAGTTTTAACCTTGAATTAAGACTAGCTCAGTCCTAGGAAGGAGGCAGTGGCAAATCACTTTTGGAAAAAAGAAAAAAGAACATTTGCCAAGAAAACTGCAGGGACTTGTCCAGATGGCCTCTGAGAATTGGACGTGACTGAACAGAAGTTCCAAAGGTGTTTTTTCAGGAGGCAACTGGACTTTGTTGTTTTTCTTTGAAGACGTTTCGCTTCTCATCCAAGAAGCTTCTTCAGCTCTGACTGGATGGTGGGGAGAACAAACCCATCAGGACAAGATTCAGCAGTCCACCTGCATTTAAAAGACAAAGGCCACTCTTTCAAAGATAGTGAAATCCACATTTTGGACAGAGAGGACCGTTGGTTTGAAAGAGGAGTCAAAGAGGCCATCTATGTCAAAACTGAACAGCCCTCTCCCAACAGAGGGGGAGGGATACAACATCATCAATCTCCAGTCTACAACATGATCCTTTCAGCAGTTTCAAGAAGGCTCCACACCCATTTTCACTACTCAGGTGACCCTGAAGACAGAGATAAGCCTCCAGGTGGACTCAACAACTCTCTAAAAGAATGCAAATGACCAGCTGTCTTCAAGGAGTATAAATCCTTCCGTTGCCCACCATCCAGTCAGAGCTGAAGAAGCTTCTTGGATGAGAAGCAAAATGTCTTCAAAGAAAAACAAGAAAGTCCAGTTGCCTCCTGAAAATGCATCTTTGGGACAACCGTGACCTGGATGACAGAGAATCTCCATAGATGACTGAACAGAAGAAGAAGAAAAGACAAACCAGGTCTTCATTATTGAGTACAATGTTTTATTTTTTCATTACTTTTCTTGAATTTGAAATATACTGTAAGGAAAATAAGGAGGAATGCATCTCAAAGGATCTAATGTTGTTGGATCCTTGGTTTAACCCTGACTTTGTTTACCTTATGTTTAGGACTGCAGCCATTCCAGAGTGTCCAGATCCAAACCCAGTTTCAGCTCATCTTGCCTCCCGAGAAGACCTGCAGCCCTGACTATTCTGGGTTGCTGGAGACATTCCAGATCTTCATTCTGGACGAGCTGAAGTCTCGTGGCTTTTGCCATATTCAGGTATTTTAATTGTGAATCTACGCAAAAGCCAGTGAAACAGCTCTGTCGTGGATTGGGCAAGGCCATCCCTGGGTATGATCTGGCCAGCCAATAGGAGCACACTGATCTTTGAATCTATCATGATATTACTACTACAACAACATTTGTGTCAGAAGTATCTACCAGCTACTTCTGGGTTGAAAGGACTAGCTGGTGACATCACCATTGCCCAGGACAGGGGTAGGCCACCTTGGCTCTTTTATGACTCGTGGACTTCAACTCCCAGAATTCCTGAGCCAGCCACGCTGAGGGGAAAGGGAGAGGTTTCCAAGCTGAGCCATGCTGGCTCAGGAATCCTGGGAGTTGAGGTCCACGAGTCATAAAAGAGCCAAGGTGGCCTACCCCTGGCCCAGGGGATGCTCAAAGGGGCTCCCTTCATGTTCTCGGTATTTTCCCACTGGAGTGGTACCTATTTATCTACTTGCATTTTCATGCTTTCAAACCGCTAGGTGGGCAGGACCTGGGGCAAATTGACGGGAGCTCATTCCATCACATATTCCATTGTGCTTTACGGGTTTAGAACAGCTGAGCTGTCAACCTGTTCATGGTCTTCTGACTTAGCATCCTAACCTCATGAGCCACCACGGCCCCTATATCATAGCATTAAACTGAGTGGGTTCAGAAAGCATTCATTGATAGTTGGGCTATAAGCTCATCCTCTGTATCCAAGACAATTATATTATAAAGAGTCAGTTTGTTCTAGTCCAGGGGTCTTCAAACTTGGCCCTTTGATGACTTGTGGACTTCAACTCCCAGAATTCCTCAGCCAGACGTGCCTGGCTGAGGAATTCTGGGAGCTGAAGTCCACAAGTCATCAAAGGGCCAAGTTTGAAGACGCCCGTTCTAATAGCTAAGAGGCATCAGAGTAGAAGCCAGGAGACTATGAGTTCTCATCCTGCCTTAGACATGAAAGGCGACGGGGTGACTTTGGACCAATCATCAGGAGACTGTGAGTTCTACTCTCACCTTTGGCAAGAAAAGGGTTCCTGCCTGAGCAGGGGGTTGGACTAGATGACCTTCAAGGTCCCTTCCAACTTTACTTTACTACTAAAACTGGGTGACTTTGGGCCAATCATGCTCTCTCAGCCCAATCCTCCTCACCGGGTTTTTTGTTGTGGGAAGAAAGCAGGATAAAATATAAAATGTTTGTTTTAAGCATATCCTTAATCAAGAGTTCTGGCTGAATTCAAATCACCACTACTGCCAACAACAGTAAAATCTGATCTTTCGTTTTAAGGTCAATATTTTGGGGAACTTGGTGTCTGTTCCAGTCTGTGGAGATTCTGCTGTCCTGGTTCAATGTGCGGCTGCTGACCGTCTGGGAGCGAACATCACGTGGCAAGCTATGCTCAAAAATGTGCCAGCTACTGCACTTCCTGATTTATATGACATTGGTTAGTTTATTATTTCTAGTATAATGTGGCTGTTGTGACTAAGATATTATTGGCCTTCATCCTCTTCAAATATGTCAGCATACTGGAGATCTAATCAAAAGGCCTGCCAGGAATTATTGAAAATTAAAAATATATATATTTTGTTTTAATTCCTTGAAATGAGTTGAACATTTGAGTTCACAGTAGCTCTACCATCACCATAACAAAACATGATTTAACTGTGCTTTGAGTTGGAATCGTACTGAAATATATTTGTCAAAGAGGATCTAATTCTTTGCTGTGTTGCAGCTGGTATTTACCAATTGAGAAAAGGAGGGAGGGAAGGAGGGAGGAAAGAGGAGAGGGAGGGAGGGAGGAAGGAAAGAGGAGAGGGAGGGAGGGAGGAAGGAAAGAGGGGAGGGAGGGAGGAAGGAAGGAAGGAAGGAAAGAGGGGAGGGAGGAAGGAAGGAAGGAAGGAGGAGAGGGAGGGAGGAAGGAAGGAAAAAAGGAAGGAAGGAAGGAAAGAGGAGAGGGAGGGAGGGAGGAAGGAAGGAAGGAAGGAAAGAGGAGAGGGAGGAAGGAAGGAAGGAAGGAAGGAAGAGTTTTCTGTTATTTTGCCCCAGCTTAAAAAGCCCCTTCAAAAGAAAATTAACTCCCCCCCCCAAAGTATACCATGAATGTCAAGCTTGAATTTCTTGTGTATTAATGTTACTGTCTAAGATTTGGGTTAGGTTGCAGTTGCTATTAATAGATTAATCATTCAGTTCCAATGTTCTTGCACATTCCTACTTTCCAGTTTGAAATTCCTAAACTCTGACTGTATGGATCTGTCATTATCCTAAGAAAGGCCAAATCGTAACCATCTCCAGAAACTGTCTGTGAGGAGAATGGTTATGTGGTCACCCGTTCTGAAAGCTATATCTGTATCTATATCCTTGCATCTGGGATGGATTAAAAGGAGAGAAGCTCTCTGCTTGCTCATATGTCTGAAATACTTGTATCCATCAAAGGATAAGATGAGATTAGATCCAAATTGCATTTTTGTTTGTCTTGGAAAGCTGTCTGGACCACCAAAGAAATAACTAAGATCTATTCAATAACTGTTAAGAACTGTGGTAGGATTATATTATAAACCAGCACAGACATATATTTGCACTAGAGAGAAATAGCAAAGCAAGGTTTTTTTTGTGATAAAATTGTACAACATATAAGGTTCATGATCCCAAGCCCATAGGAACACATGATGGACCAATTTCAAGAAACGTGATTGGAAAATCTGTTTCAATAGGCAGGCATCAGCTGAAGAAACTGTCATTTGAGCTTTATTTTATTTCTATTCTTGAAAAATAGGAGTTGCTCATGAACAGAATTGGAAGATTGGGAAAAAAAATTGGACATGAAACCCAATTTGTCCTTTCATTTCCCAATTTTTCCAGTCTTCAAATTCAGTTCATGGTATTTTCATGTCCCCACAGACTTTCACATGGCTCTTGGTGCATATTTTTTCCTCAGACTTGCGTTTTTCCATCACACAGACACTTTGTGAGTGATGGTCTTTAATATGATTCAACACTTAACAGTATTTTCACTGGTGTATAATATCTATCTGGGCACTTTTTCTGACATATTCTTTTAAATTCATAGTTTGTTTCAAAGATTCAGAGAAGTGCAATTTTTAAGGATCACTCAGTTTTTTCTCTCTCTCTCTCTCTCTCTCTCTCTCTCTCTCTCTCTCTCTCTCTCTCTCTCTCTCTC